GCCCAGGCGGGTCTCAAACCCGCGGGCTCAGGCAATCCGCTCACCTCAGCCTCCCAAAAGCGCAGGATTACAGGCTGAGCCACCGAGCCTGGCTAACAAGTGTTTCTTAAGTATCACTAAAAGCAACCTCCTTGTGCAGCTGAGGGTTTTTGATCTTAGATCTCACCGCAAAGCCATCCTCCCTCCCAAATTCATCTTCCAGGGAATGAATGTTTCTGCCTGGTGCCTTTCCTGCCTGTAAGGCTGTGCCTCCCATTGCTGCCAGCAGGGGACAGTGGTGAGCCTCATTTGCAGATGCTTTGCGGGAGAGAAGGGGAGAGAGAAAACCCTGGTGCAACCAAGGGACCCTTGAGCCAGACCCCTGCCCAACTCAGCTGTCTCTCCTTGATCTTAGCATGGACTCATTTTCTTGTAACTAGCAATACTGTGTCTCATAGGAACTTTAGAAAATAGAGATAAGCAAAAAAAAAAAAAAAATCTGTAGCCTAATAGTAATAACCATTGTCAGCCGGGCTTAGTGGCTCACACCTGTAATCCCAACACTTTGGGATGCAGAAGTGAGAGGATTTCCTGAGCCCAGGGGTTCAAGACCAGCCTGGGCAACTTGGCGAGGCCTCATCTCTACAGTCAATCAATAAAATTAGTCGGGCATGGTGGCACACACTTGGATAGTTCTAACTACTTGAAAGGCTGAGGTGGAATGATCGCCTGAACCCAGCAGGTTGAGACTGTGGTGGCCATCAGCATGCCACCGTTCTCCAGCCTGGGTGACAGGTGAGACTCCAAATAATAATAATAATAACCAGTGTTAATATTTGGGCATCTGTTATTCTGATTTTTCTATTTATGTATAAAAGTGTTCTTGAGTTATACCAGTTAAAAATTAATATTCTGTGATTTTAAAAAAATCAACGTGCATTTAATGGCTATATTTTATATCTGAATCCACCCTGCCCTCTTCCTGTCCGTGAGTTTGGATCACATTCATGGTTTTTTCCTTAAAGTCAATTTCCAGAGGTGAAATAGAAATGATAGAGCAAAATATACATAGAGATCAAGGGCGTCTGATAGGCAGAGCCGAGTTCCCCCTTAGAAAATCATGTGCGTGAGTACTTGGCAGCTGTGTTTGCCTGGTGTGTACTGCCTCTCAGCCTGCCCTTCTGGACATCTCGAACACTCATGCTCTTAAAAGTCTGGATCTGTTGTTCACAGGCTGAACATATGTCCAGGTTTCACCTGTGACCCCACAGTAATTAATAGCAGCCCCTTCACTCTCTGTTCTAATATGAGCAATAAATAATATGGATAACTGATTACTAGACCCACAAGGCTGAAGAATTGTGGTCATTTTTAGATTTCTTAGACTTTTAAAAATACAACAGTTTTATTTAAATATAATTCATCTCCCAGGCTATTGATCTATTTAAAGTGTGTGACTCTGATTTTTAGTATCTTCACAGACTTGGGCATCCATCACCACAATCAATTTTAGAGCATGTCACCACCCCACACACATGAGCTGTCACTCGTTCCCTCCCAACGCCTCAGGCCTAGGCAGCCATAAATCTGTCTCTCTCGACTTGCCTGTTCTGGACCTCTCATGTAAATAGGATAGCACACTATGTGGCCTTCAGGACTGGCTTCTTCCACTTAGTAGTGTGGTGCTTTCAGGGGTCATCCATGCTGCAGGGTGTCAGTGCCCATTCTTTTTCTTTTTCTTTTTCTTTTTTTTTGAGTTGCAGTCTCACTGTGTCGCCCAGACTGGAGTGCGGTGGCCGCTCCCGGCCACCACAGCCTCGACCTGCTGGGCTCCGGCGATCCTTCCGCCTCAGCCTTCCAAGTAGCTTGAACTACAGGCACACACTACCATGCCCGGCTAATTTTTGATTTATTGTAGAGATGAGGTCTCACCAAGTTGCCCAGGCGGGTCTCGAACCCGCGGGCTCAGGCAATCCACTCACCTCGGCCTCCCAAAGTACTGGGATTACAGGCTGAGCCACCGAGCCCGGCCCCATTCCTTTTCGTTGCCAAGAGTATTCCACCAACCATTCATTCACTGGTGGACATTTGTGTTGTGTTCACTTTTTGGCTATTGTGACTAACGTTGCTATAAACTTTTGTGTCCAGGTTTTTGCATATGTTTTTGTTTCTCTTAGTTTTCTGTGTAGGAGTAGAATTGCTGGGTCATGTGATAACTCTATGTTTAACCTTTTAAGGAACTGCCCGGATTAATTTTTGCATGACATAGCTAGGCTAATAAAGAAAAGCTTTTGTGTTGAGTATCATTTTAGTAACCTACCACATTTTCTATATTACTGATATTAGTATCTTTTTTTTTTCAATTTTACAACAAAGTTTATTGGAGAAAGAAGAGAGGAAAGAAAGGGAAATATGTCAGAGCTGGCATGGGCAAGAGAAACACATGACGTTATTATCTTAAAGATGCTTTAAAAAAAAACTAACATGCCTGGGGTTCTGTGACCTAAATAAATGAGAATGTTTTTGGCACTTTCGATTTTTTTTTTTTTTTTTTAGTTGGAGTCTCACTATGTCACCCAGGCTGGAATGCAGTGGCACCCTCATGGCCACCGCAGCCTCAACCTGCTGGGTTCAGGTGATCCTTCTACACCAGCCTTCCAAGTAGCTGAAACTACAGGCACATACCATCATGCCCAGCTAATTTTTTGATTTATTGTGGAGACAAGGTCTTGCCATGCTGCCCAGATTGGTCTCGAACCGGTGGGCTCTGGCAATCCTCTTGCCTCTACCTCCCAAAGTCTTGGGATTACAGGTGTGAATCCCTGTGTCCAGTTTTTTTTTTTTTTTTTTGAGTCATTTGTCATTCAGGCTGGAGCACAGTGGCACAATTGTGGCTTACTTCAACTTCAACCTCCTGAGCTCAAGTGACCCTCCCGCGTCAGACTCCCAGGTAGCTGGGACTACAGGCATGCAACACTATGCTTTGCTAATTTGTATATTTTCTGTAGTTATGAGGGTCTCCTTATGTTGCTCAGGCTGGTCTTGAACTCCTGGGCTCAAGCAATCTTCCTGCCTCAGCCTCCCAAGTGCTGTGACTGCTGGAATCACAGGTGTGATTCTTTTTTGTTAAATTTTTAAAACATGACTCTCTCACTCTCTTTTTAGAAAAACAATACTAGGTTTATTTAGCATAAGATTTCTTTTTAATTTTGGTAAAATACATACAGCATAAAGTGTACCATTTTAATCACATTTAGATCTACAGTAGAGTATGCATTAAATACATTCAGTGTTGTGCAACCATCACCACCTTTCGTCTCCAGAACTATTTTCATCTTGCAAAACTGAAACTCTGGACCCATTAAACAGTCACACCCTGTTCCCCCTTCCCCCAGTCCCTGGCAGTCACCATTCTCCTTTCTGACTCTATGGATTTGCCTTCCCTAGATACTTCATGCAAATGGAATTATGCTGTATTTGTGCTTTTATGATGGGCTTATTTCACTTGGTGTAATGAAGGTTATACCAAGGTTCACCTAGGCCGTTTTTATTTTTCTTTTATTTTTTTGAAACAGTGTCTTACTTTTGCCCAGGCTGGAGTGCAGTGGCATGATCATGGCTCACTGCAACCTCAACCTCCCAGGCTCAAGCTTTCCTCCCTTCTCAGCCTCCCAAGTAACTGGGACTATAGGCACGTGCCACTATGCCCAGCTAACTTTTATATGTTTTGTAGTGATGGTGGGTCTCGCTATGTTGCTCAGGCTTGTCTTGAACTCCTGGACTCAAGCAATCCTCATACCTCAGCCTCCCAAAGTTCCAGGACACCTAGGTTGTTTTTAATACAGAAAAGTGTTTTAAAAACCAAAAGCAGCCCATAATCCCAGTAGCCCTGACAGCTCCTCTTTGATATTTAAATTAAAATGCAATAATGCATTTGCATGTTTAGGAAATGTAAACGTACAATTTCATGATTCGAAAGCTCCCCCCACCCCGCCCCTCCGCAGTCACTCTCCCCAAAGGTTTCTTGACAATTTCTTAAGTATTTCCCAGTAAACATGACAAAGTGTTTATGTTTTCTTATATAGATAAAAGATACACTAATACACACAATATGCTATATGTTGGGGTTTTTTCCCTCTTTCTTTCCTTTTTTTTTTTTTTTTTTT